GAGGTATTTGCTGGTTCCCTCTATCTTCCTCTATACTGGACTTCACCAAGGAGACTGGGATTCTAATGGCATTTTGTGGTTCCCTCGTCCCTCTTTTCTACACACTCTGGAACATTTAAGGTACATCGCAGGCATTTCATCAGGGCCTGGAAGGTGAGAGAGAACCTGAGGTTGTGGTTGCCTAAGACTTCGCTGGCCACAGCTGTCCATGTGTGTTTATGAGTGAGTCACATCTCACCTTGGGGTCCATCTGTTTCTGCACTTTTAAAAACGAGGCAGCTGAACTTTTGGTCTTCAAGACTCTCAGCTTTGAGATTGCCAGAGAAACCTGTTCCTCATGAAGGCACATCTTAATTTATTTATTTTCACATAAAGAGGTTTCTCTCAGGGTGAAGGTTCTCAATGTTTGAATAAAATAAGTTCTCCTCAAGTATGCCACATGTATTTATAGTACTCCATTGTCTTCTCATCTGGATGAAAAGTCCCCCAATTTTACATAGTCAAGTTTGCATCGATCTTTTATTTTCACCAGAGAGCTCAAGGTTATGATGTTCTCTTGTCTCTGAAAGAAAACAAGGCCAGACAGAGTAGAATCTATGAATGAGGCTCAGCGTTTCCCTTGGAGGAACAGGAGGAAGTTGCTTCATATTAGAAAGATTTATAAAAGGCTTTTTCATAAGCGCTTCACAAAGCAGATTGGAACAGAAACATAATCTAGTTAAAACTAGTAAATTGCCGATACAGGGGGAACGTTGAATTGGGTTTAAGGAACCAAATGTAATCTATAACATTGTCCTCAGAAACAATGACGGACAGTTCTCTAGGAGGCCTTATTCCTTCTCTGCTGAGCACCAGGAGTAGGGACTGTGATGTGGTGGAAGTCTCTGTGGTCCCCAGATCTAGCTCTATGGCTGCCATGTTTAGGATTCTGTCAAAGGAAACCTCAAAACTCTCACCTCCATTCCCTTTGAAACTTTCTGGAACATTCTCTCTCATTGTCAATTTAGATTACTTGAATGCTATTCTCTATCTGGTATGTTTCTTCTAGAAAGCTTCCCTTGACCGGCCTCCTGTTCCAGGTTAGGAGTGCCTCTTGTGTCCCCACAGTTGGCTGAACTTGTATTCCTGGACTCTCTTAGAATCACCCCTTGACTTGTGTGAATCCCTCACAAGCTTGGAAACTTCACGTGGGAAGATGGCATCTTTCTTGCTTACTGCCTCACATCTAGCATTTAATGAAATGTTGGCACTAAACTGCATGCTTTGCAGATGTTAAATAAATATTTCTCTAATGAATGAATGAGTTTCTACATTCAAACTTTCACTCTCTACTTAGAGTCCTGGACTAAATGGCCCTTCTCCTCTACAGATAGACTTAAGTGTATCTTTTCTCCTGAGATACCCCAAGTCATCTCCACCCATGTACCTCCACCAATTGACATAAAGCCTATTTTCCCCTCCTCTGAAGTCAAAATTGTGCACACTATAATGTAGGACTCAAGATCATGGATTTTAATGTGAAATTTTGAGTTCAAATTCAGGAATATCTCAAATATTACCTAGGGGATATTGGACAAATGACTTACCCTCTGAATTCTTGCCTCCTCACCCATAAAATGGAAATGCTATACCTGTTCCTCCAGGAGGAGATAAAATGGGCAATATTCATAAGTCCCTTGGCACAGATCCTGACCAACCCAATGTCTACTGAAAAGAAATGAAATTACCAACATCTTTAACATAAACTGGAATTTTCCAAACCCTGCTGCTGAGGAGAAACCAGTGCTCTCAGAAAGCACAGAAAGTGTACAGTTTTCACAAAACCATGCTATTCAAACCGCCATTCTGAAGGCGGTCCTGCCACGGGTTGGCATATGCCCTCTCAAAGCCCTTGCCAACTCATAAGGTAATGGCATTACAATGCCTTTGTCTCCACATGGGCAGACATTCTTCTGAGTCTCATGGCATTTCATTCAAGTGTGCCAACACTTCACATAATTTTTTCATCAAAGTAAGTGCCAAATAATATATTTATTGAATGAATAAATGAGAAGGATAGAAACACATCACACCTAAGATTGATAACCCTTCTCATTGCATGAGCTCTAATTATCATGTACCTTCATCTAATCTAGGATGCTTTTGCTTTAGAACCAATCTACATACTGGCTTCTTCTTTAGGAATCTACCTTAGATCCTCAACCATGCACTAAATCGAAGCCTACAAAACTGACACCCTATCTATGCCCTGCTATTGACCGCATCTTCACTACATCCACAATTTAGCAAATATTTCTAGAAAGCTGTGGTTTTGAGATCTGTACTGGGTATAATGAGTATAGTGACAAATTAAAAAGGTATGGACCTTGCTCTCACTGAGATTACTCTCCTTTTAGGGTAATGCTATATTTTCTGGGAGGTCTGTATGTTCTTACTGCCTCCTACCTGAGATAGGCTTCAGGCTACTCTGACAGTAGCTGCATCTCAAGTATATTCACTTCCTCAATTCCACTGTCATTTCAATGGATATTAATGCTGGACTGAGACCAAATTCGAGCCCTCCAGGCCTCCATGAACATAGGCACTCTCCATAGGTTACCTGAACTTGAAACCACTCAATCCCTTTCCCTTCCCCCTCTTTTCTGAAACTGGCAGCCAATACTTTTCATCCTAGACCCTCAGTCTCCTGTCACTTAAGAAATATATTTAAGTAAAGCATTTCCGTCAGCTTCTCAAATTTTTGACTTACATGTAGCTTTGTGACATACTAGACCAAAAGGGCTTTCTAGACTTAAACAATCTTCATGCCCCCATGCTACCCTAAAATAAAGTCTTCTTAAATTCAAATAGTGTAATGTTATCACTATAGCCAACCCCACCTGCAAAAAATGTAATGTGGTCCAACTGGTTATAAATTTTGCACTCATTTCCTCCATATTTACGAACATTCATAAAAAATTGAGAAATCTCATGAGCTATATGGATGGGTCACTGTATAATTGCCTACAAAGAGAGAAAAGCATTGAGGATATAGAAGTGAAAGAATAATATATAATTCATAATACGGAGATGAAAGGTGGGTGAATATGAAGTGGCTCTTCCCTTGAAAATGTTTAATCTTTTTTTTAATATCAACACACCTTATTATAAAGACAACATGGCCTATCCAAATACAATCAGTAAAATACTACCATCTTTTAATCAAAAGATTATGGAATTCTCAAATAGTCCCTAGGATAAAATGCTTTATGAATCTGGTTTAAATATCAGTTAAATACAGATTTCTTAATAGTTGAGCCATTATGTAATTAAATAATATTTGTAGAATGACAACTGCATGCTCCATAAGTGAAAGTTAGATTTAATGAGACATTTATTGGCACAAATGATTAATAATAAAACTCTCTGTGCTGAAGGTAATTTATACACATACGATGTGGCCAAGAAGAAAAGCTCATTTTAATGCTTACCTTGTGTCCCAGCTGCCTGCCTCTTATCCAATTCAAATCAATTCCTGGTTAAAAAACAGCAGCCTAAGACTTAAGGGTGATAATCGTCGGGAGGGACAATGAACAAAGGTACCCTTTTAAACATGTTGAGTTTATAAAAGATCTGTGCCAGGATTTGCAATTCACATTTTATGTTGCTAATAAATTGGTCCTTTCCCCCAATCATTTATACAAATGTCTCAGGGGATGAAAATAAAAGTAGTCTCTCTCTCTCTCTCTCTCTCTCTCTCTCTCTCTCTCTCTCTCTCCTCTCTTTCTCTTTTCTTCTCCCTCCCTTCTTCCTTCCTCCCATCCATCCATCCATCCATCTTTTTCTCTTCATCCTCTTTCTCTCTGTACATTTGAAAAGCAGATAATTTGGCAATCGTGTAGTCATTATCTCAAATGTGACAAATGTGTGAGAATATGATATACTAAGACCTTGTCAAGTAGTCAGCACAATGCTAGGAACTATTATTATGTACTATTTTAGAGGCAGGGGAAAATGTTGGTTTGTTTTGATCTTGTAACTGGAAGAACAGCCTGAGAGGTAATTGCCATCATGGTCTTTAAGGAAGGAATGATGCTCTTATGATTGAAAAGTAATATCGAGTAAAAGAGCAAAGTAAGTCACTTTTTTTTTTCTGGTACCAGGGATTGAGTTCAGGGGAACTCGACCACTGAGCCTTATTTTGTATTTTATTTAGAGACAGGGTCTCACTGAGTTGCTTAGTGTCTTGCTGTTACTGAGGTTGGCTTTGAACTTGTGATCCTCCTGTCTCAGCCTCCAGAGCTGCTGTGATTACAGGCGTGTGCCACCAAGCCCAGCTGGTAACTTTAAAGAAGGACCTCAGTTCTGTCCACAAGAGAAGAGCCCTCCTGATCTGATCACCTTCTACAAATACCCCTCTTAATACTATCACTTTAGCCAGTTTTTTAACCCCAAACCAAAGTGACTTCTTTCTATCTGTGTTTTACCCTCAGTGAGTCATTACATGCTGTACAGCCTGTTTCCTCCTCAGCAAAGTGGTGATATTGACATTTCTCTTTACCTTCTGGAACACTAGAATTCGGTGACTGAAGACTGTGTTCTCGTTGCCCATTGCCCAGACTCCAATGGAGTATATACCGTAAAGTGCCTTACCTTTCATGTGCCACTTATTTCATGCAGGGAACATACCAATGATTAATATTGGAAGAATTAATGGATGCATTTATTGAACTCTAAAGCCCATTTTAATTACTTCTATGATGTCGCCACAAGATGGAAAGAAGTATCCCGATTCTGGAGACAATGCACCCTTGTTAGAAACAGTACATTCAGAGCATCCAGTCTCTCTGACTTCAGTCCCTTCCAGAGAATTGCCACAATATCAGGACATGATAACTGGCTGTACCACCCTCTCTGAAGTGCGTCTATTATGAACAGCCACAGCCGAGAGTTAATAGTTGCCAAAATCACCATTTGCAAGTTGGAAGACAGACTCAATAAAAAGTGAGTCTGGATTTACCATGAGGACAGTGTTTCTTCTCCAAGTCCAAGGTTGGAGAAGATATTAAAGACGATTCAGAAACCTAGAAGACTGGCCAGAGTTATTGATTTAATAAGGGATACTGGTGAAGGAGGGCCTGGGGATTGTGGAAGTTAAATTAATAAATATTATTTGTTTGCATTTTTTACTAAAATTCTAATCAGGGTGTCATTGGGTAGAGGGGCTACAGATTTTTATTCATTCTACTTCATTTAAAATTTCAAATTTTCAGGCAATGGTGTCCAATGCTGACAAATCTGTGAAAACAGCATTTTCCCCATAATGCCAAATACCTCCAAGAGGCTTGAGAAAATATACTGTTGAGAATGGTTCTCACGGTGGATTTTTGGGGGTTTTGGTCGAATCTCCACTTCTTGGTAGCTGTATAACCTTGGGAGAAAAATCCTTAATACCTCCCAGCCTTGATTAATTCGCCTTTAAAATGGAGACAAGTATAAAGAGCTTCCACTTCGTTATTTATAAGGATAAAATAGATTCAGCTTCTATACTTCTAATCTAAGATCTTTGCTAAGACACCAATATTGGGGATACGTTCTCACTTGGTATGTCCTGACATCACCTCTTCTATGAAATTCTGGGTGCACCCACATGCGCACACGCAGGCATACACAATTTACCTGAACCAGTGGGGTTTTCCCAAGAACCAAAGTCACTTGCTTGCACAGGAAGAAATCCATTCCTTGTAGGGCATTGATTTGGGAGACCATTTTTTTAACCCCTGAAATGAAAGGGGATTCGGACACATATTCTCCAGTGAGCACTAATTTCAACATTCATCAGCCAAACTGCAGGTCGGTAGGCCCGGCAGACCCAGCTCCTCATTGCCAGTAGAAAAGTAAAATGGATGATCTCATCAAGAAAGATCAGGGCGAATTGCACTGCATGAGCAGACAGGACATGCCCTCTGTGCTTACCTTCTCATGGCCCCAGCCTTTCAAAATGGGCCTGAAAAATACAGAGGAACATCCAGGTCATCACGTAGTACTGTTTCCTTTTCTGTCTGAGAACACAGCTGGACAGTGGTTCTCAGGCTCCCCGGTATGTCAGTGGAGCTGAGAGCTGAATTATAACTAATGGAACGTAGCAGAAACAGAAAACCTCCCCAGAACCAGCCAGTGCAGCCTTCAGTAGAATGAGAAGACCCTTCTGGAGTCTGTTGGCAAGGTGCAGAGCATCCAGTGAGGCCCCTGAGACCCAAGAGGACAGCAGAGCCACCAGGGTCTCCATCTCAGCACTTTGGAAGATTATTCATCAAACACCCAACACCATTTTCCATGTGCAAGAAATAATATACGCTTAGTATATTAATGCAACTGGGGTTTGGGGCTTCTGGGCTACAGCATTCAGCTCTCCCAAAATGCAGCAGATAAACTTGGATCTCACCCAGTGATGACAGGTGATAGACAATTTAGCAAATTTCTCCCAGTGTTAAGTACACTTGCAAATGAAAACAGGGTTCACTGACAACTGCAGGTATGGGTCTTGAAATACAGAAGTGGAGTTCAGAACTCAAAAGCTCTGCCTGTGGAGGCATCTGTTCGGTGCACAAGACTCCCCAGGCCTCCTGGGGGCTGACAAAGCCTTGGCAGTCAGGAAACTTCCCCCGGCCAAGCCCCCTGCTGCCCTAATCACTGCTTCCAGAAAATGAGAGCACCTCCACAAGAGTATTTTTAGATCAGCCTAATTTCTAGAACAAACCACGTCCGAGTGCTCACCCTCCATGTGCACACAGTTACTGATGCCTCTGCTATTTAATTTCCATTATTAATATTTACCACAATATGATTAGTCTAGTTCTGAGGCTCTGGGTTAGAACTTATTATATAGTTCCCAAGCACCAAGCCCGTGAAGAAAATATTTTCATTCTGCCTCTTCTCAGCCATTCTTCCTATGGCACTCTCCTTTCCTTGAGTATGGGCCCTTTGCCGTGACACTTTGGGAGGTCTCTTCTCATGGAAGAATTCACTGATCACCCTTTAGCGGGCTGAAGCACATTTTTCTAAGATCTCATGTGACATTTGATGCTAACAAGTCACATAATTTTCAATGAGAGGATACTAGAAATATTTCAGCCAACTTCTTCCTGACTGCATACCTCTTAAGGGCAGGGATTGATCAGAATGGTTTTATTTCCCGTGACAAGGACACAGCTTGATGTATCCTTTTATTCACATTTTAAAAAGATTCACTGAGCACCTGCTATGCCCCAGGTATTGTGAAAGGCACAAGGTAGTCAGTGGAGAACAAAGAAGCCAAGCATCCTTGTTCTCAAGGAGCTAACAGTCTAAAGAGGGAGATAGTAATCAAAGATTTGCTCAAATAAACACATCGTCACAGATGGGTTCAGTGATCTGGAAGAGACAAGTGTGTTTTTGAGAAGGCATCTTACTGTTTTTCCAAAAATAGACCCTTAGACAAGGGCTTGAGTGCAAGCGATTATTTGGAAGAGCAATAGGAAGTGTAGACAGGAGACAGGAAAGAAATAAAGATTATGGTCAAGAACAGATCAATGTTATGGGCCATTGAAGTTCAGCCCTGCTAGAGCCCTGGAGATGGTACAGAACAGGTCTGTGAATTACCCTACTTTGGGGCAAAATCAAACCCCCATGCCTCCTTGGTTCAGGAGGGCTTATGACTGAATCTCTGAATTTCTACTTTGTCCTATGTGGGTGGATCTTATTCCTAGAACCAGAGATACATCAGGGAGTGTGAGGTGCAGGGGATTGTCTGTGGTTTTCCTCTGGAATAGTCCGTGGGAAATGGACAATTGGTAGCATCTTCTTTGATGTAGACATCAAAAGTACTTCCTGGTCCCAGAACAGGGAGTCGGGGAAGTATGTGCTGATCACAGGCCTCTGTGCAGACAGCTCACTGATGAGATGCTCCACGGGGATGGACACACTAGGCAGAAATGTATTAAATTCATCAGGATGAATGTGGCCCATAGGGTACACACATGCAAAGCCATATAGGGAGGATGAGGATGAGAGGTTTGGGGGTGCACTAGGTCTGCCAAGGACTGCCTCCTGGCCCTTCTCTCAACCCCAAGAGCAATGGGAGTGGGGACAACAAAGTTCTTAAGCATAAAGTGGGTTATCTGTTATGATCTGTGTTTGGAAACAGTATTTTTAAGACCAATTTGGAGCAGCAAGTCAGTATTGCACTGAGAGACGAGGGAAGCTGCATTAGGAGGAAGGGGGTAGAAAGCAGGAATATCAAGAAGGTTAAGTATGGAGGATTGTTGGATGTGAAGGGCAAGAATGATTGCAAGGCTTCTGGTATGGAAATAGAGTCATTGGTGAATCAGCAAACCCTGAGTGAATGAGCAGAACTGGTAATCAAGGGTTCAGTTCAAGTCATGGTGAAAAACCCAGTTTTGAATCAGCCAATGGGAAATATGTCAAAGCAGGCAGTTTAGAATTACCTGTATGGAGTGCACCAAACAGGTCTTACCTGTAGAAATACATAAGTGAGTTTTCTATCCCCAAATGGCTTCAGGCATGTGAAGGAGGCCATGTGGATTCCTGACATAGTAAAGGAGCAGAGAAGGAGGACTTCTTCCAGTCTTCTTGGCTGTTTTCTGAGAACTCATGGTTTATCATTATTCTTTCTGAACCCACAATGGTAAACCATGAGTTCTCAGAAAACCCATCCCTATGGATCCTGTGGTATCTAGGGTGGGTCTCAGGCAAAGCTCAGATGCTAAGAGAGGCAAATGGATAGGTGAGTGGGTAGATGGATAGATGGATGAATGGATGGACAGATGGATGGATGGACAGATGGATCCTGAATGCTAGGGTCCAACATAAAGACTGTAAAAAGCAATAAGCAAGAAAAAGAGGACTGAAGGGGGAATGAGTGATTGATGACAGATTCCAGTGACCTTTGTAAGAATGTCTGTTTTTTTTGTGCTATGTTATTACACTGAGAGCTGAATAAGATTAACAATGGAATAACTGCACATGGAGGGATATCCAGACCTCTGGTTGAGCTTTCTTAATGTATGGGTGGATCTTTAAAGAAATTTTAAATTTATTCAGAATCAACTACCTTTGGTTGAATGATGCTGCAGCTCTGATAATCCTCATAATCTGGATATTAAATTTTTAACTCCAACCCAACATTCCCAGAAATCTTTTATTCATCCTAGAGGTGCTGATGTAACATAGCCAAGCCTATAAGTGGAGCCATCTTGGCAAGTGGAGAAAGGAATGTGATGTATCTCCCGAGGCTGTCGGGATAGGACAGAAGAATGAACTGTTTATATAGATGTGAACATTTAAATATTTGCTTGTTTTGCATCCTGCTATTTTTTACCTACCTGTATTAAATAACTACACATTCATTTTTATTCATTCATTGATTTGTTCAATTAATATATATTTATTGAGCACCTACTAGGTACTGGTTCTGGGAATCCCATGGTGAGCAAGAGACACTATCCCTGCCTTGTAGGGATTTCCCTAGTGGAGGCCACAGATGCTCTGTATATACATAGAATTGTGATACTGCAGAGAAGGAAATGATACAGAGTCCCATGAGATGACAGAGGAGTAGAGGTAAAAAAGAAGAATGCTTAACAAGGGAGAGGAGCCTCTGCCAAGGCCAGCATGGGACACAAGTGTATGTGCCACTGAAGAATTAGGCAAAGTACTAGGGAGAGAGGAGCACAGAAGAGCAGCAAGAACTTGGCAGAGAGCCAGGCTGGAGCAATGCACAGGGGACAGACACACAAAATTCTCCCTATATGCTGAGAGATACCTAACCCCTAAGCCACATTCCCAGCCTCCCCACCTGCTTTTATTGAGACCAGGTCTTGCTAAGTTGCTTAGGGTCTCACTATGTTGCTAAGGTCTGCTTTGTACTTGCTGCCCTCCTGCCTCAGCCTCCTGAGTCACTGGGATTCCAGACGCATACAATCACACCCACCTAGACAATGTATTACAAATTTAAAAGCCTGTTCATTGACAATAGTTTAAGTAGATTTTATAGAGCAGGAAATAAAAGGCCAGAAAATTCTTGCATGAAACAAAAGACACCTTAAGGAAATTCCTAATCTCTGCATTCATTTATTTTGTCAACACCTATTTATTGTGTGTCTAGATGTGCTGGAAGCAGGACACCAAACCTAGCCTCAGCTTTCAGGGGACCTTGCAGAACAGAGAGGCTACGTGTCTTCTCCTGCTGCCCTTTGGTATGTATGAGCAGCAGGAGATATTCAGGTGGATAGGATTGGAAGCTCATTCCTGCTAGCCACCATCATGGGGCCTGTTCTAATTTATGGGGCCATGCTAACTCTGCAAAATGGGAATCCCCATAATCCTTACCTAATATAATCTATGTGGAAGAGTGGGAAGGGGCCGCAACACCAACAGCAGGTTATCAACAAATGTTAATTAATATGAAAATAGAAAACTGGATTTTTATCAGAGATCACAGAAGATATAGCAGGGATGGGGGCTATAAGCTACATAAAGGTCTCCTGCTATGATATAAAGAAGATTGTTCTCAGGAGTTAACCTGCCCAAGAATGGAGTCAGCTGCTCTTGGGTTCAGAGATACCTCCATCTCTGCAAATATTCAAACTCAAATAAGAAAAAAATCTTCAATGTGGTTAATAGGGAGAGGGTTAGAGGGATATTAGCATTTTGTTGCAAGTTACTTGATCTTTAATATAGGAAAATTTTTGTCCCCAAGACTTCTCTTGCAGTAGGGGAAAAAAATAAAGAAAAAAGAAAAGAAAATAGCTCTTTCGGTCATCTGACGAAAGGGACTTGATCCTTGTGTGTCAATCCTGCCTTTTCTCCCCCGGTGACCTCCCCACCTCCTTACTGTGGCCATTATGGAAATGTGAGAAAATCCTGGGATCCATGTTTTCTCCCAGATCCTCTATTCCTGGGGTCTTTAGATGACCTAATCCTACTCAAGTCTCAAGTCTAGGCCAGAAATGGGCCATAACAGCTGCTTTGGGTGGGATTGGGTTTCGACCAGTGGCTGTGCCTGTAGCCTGGGGCAGGGGTCTACCTGCAGTGGAGTAGACCTTCATGCTTCCTGTTGAGCTGAGGATTCAGGTCCATTTCCCTCCTGCTTCCTGAATCCCTCAGGCCCTGCTCATGAAGATGTGGACCATGATCCTGGATGCTATGCAAGATAGCTCAGCTCTGCAGTAGAGCTGGAAGCCGGGACCCGTGTCACCCTTGGCCTCCTGGATGGCAGGGCTGGAGGTCTAAGTACTTCTTTGTTTTTCTTCTGGGAATTCTAGGGAAGACTGGTTCCTGAAGCTTTCTGCTTAAAAATTTGCCAGATTTGTCCCTGAAGGACCGAGATGATAAAAATGTGATCCTTGACTTTCCTTTCTCTTTTCCAAGAGGGTGCCATGCTCCCCTGGTGGGACAGGAAGCCTGATGTTCTCTCAGAAGTCTGCCTCTGCCCTTCAGTGTCTGCCTTGCTGAACTCTCCAGGAAAAGGCACCTGAGCAGGGTGTACTTAGAATAACCAACTGATGGATGTCACTTCCAGAAATGTCAGAGCCATGGCATCACAAGCCACTGGCTTGGGGACATGAGTTTTGGAAGGACTTAGTAGTAGGGGGCATGCGAGGTGAAGGCCACTGCTTCTGTGGATTTTTTTTTTTTTTGGTTTTGTTTTGTTTCAAGTGAGTCTATTAAGGGTCCTTGGAAATTGAAAAATATATAGTATTTTCTTCTCTTGCATTTGGATAAAAATTAAGATCATACATTTATTACCTGTGTTAGTTAACTACTCTTGTTTTCTTCACCTATAAAATGGTGGGCTATCAGAAGAAATAAATAAAAGCAGCTCACTGAAAAATTTGATATATGGCATGTGCTTCCTACATAAATAGAAAGTTTAACTTATATTATTTTATCTAACTTGAACTAGGGAAGTGTGAAGATCTGTTTGGACTGCTCATTTAGTCATCCTTTCATTTATTCATGCATTAAGCATAATCTTGTATCTCCAAAGTCCTGAGTCCCAAACTGAGGATAATAGGTGAAAAACAATCTTCCTTGACCTGCCGGGACTTCTGGTCTACCATTTACTTGAGTTGTTGTTTCTGGGGAAAAGTCTCAAGTGTCAGGCAAAGTTCAGAGATTTTATTTCCTCTTGTAGCTTTATGACTTTCAGACTGTTCCCTCAAAATTGCACTTAATTTTAACTTCATTAACTTCCTGTTCTGTCACAACAGTTGAACAAGGATTTCTCCATGAGCAGTATTCAAATCAGCTTTTAATGAGCTATTTAATTAAAGGCTAATTGAGGTGAATTCATTAAAGATTTCTAAATTATGCTTATCAGGGTAGCTATGTTTTAAGATAAGTTTTAAATATTTGTTTTATATTGCATTGTTTGATCATAAAAGTATGTATAAAATTACTTTAAAATTACTAATTAGAATGTGGGTGCATTTTTTTTCTTCCTCCATACTTAAGTGGGACACTTACCAAATCAATTTAATATATGTTCTGTGTTGAGCTAAATGATAAAAGAATACTAGTGTCTATGGATGATGCTCTGAAAAATTGGTCCATGAAAAATTCCCAGGTAGGGTATTATTGGGCTGTCTTTGATCTGATGTTTCAACTGCAGTGTAAATTATTACTCATTAGATGCAAGGTTTGCACCAAGCCCTGATGACTCTTGGGTTTCCAGTTGACCTTGTAATAATAGATACTGCATCTTCCCTATGCCAGTGTCACTCAGGAAACAAATATGCAAAATACAATATGGCCTTTTTGACTATAACAAGGCAGCCAATGGGGATAAAAGTGTAGCTCAGAAATATGTGTCGGAAGTCTCCTGCATTACTGGTATAGTTCAGGACACTGAGGATACAGATTAATTAGGGCCCATGATTTAATGGGAGAAAAATGAGTCACTTATGCTCTTTAGTAGTCTCCTCTGGTCTGTGATTTTCATTACAAGGTTTTACTTACCCCTGGCCAATGAGGATCTGAAAACATTAAATGGAAAATTCTAGAAAGTAATGACTGATGTTTTAAATTGTACTCCTTCCTGAGTAGTATTACAAAATCTTGTGCCATCTCACACTGTCCCACTCCATAGTGTCTTGAAAGTGAATCATGCCTGTGTTCTGAGTATCCATGCTGTATATGCTACCCACCTGTTAGTTACCTAGCAGCTGTCTGGGTTATCTGCAGTTTTACAGTGCTTCTATTCAGATAACCTTTATGTAGTAGCCTAATTTTACATCACAATGCCCGCATCATTCACTTTATGCTGTTTCATCATGTAGGCATTGTATTATCATTTCACATCATCTCAAACAGAAGGTTGAGTACAGTGTTATAAAGTATTTTGAGAAAGAGAAAGAGGGAGAGGGCAGAGAATGCACTTTCACATAACTTTTATTAAAACACATTGTTTTAATTACTATTATTATTGTTAATCTCTTACTGTAAATAATTCATAAAGTAAGCTTTATCCTAGATATGTATAATAAAAATATATTCTACATATTTCAGTCCTATTTGCAGTTTTCAGGCATCTGCTGAGAGTGTTAGAATGTTTCCCACGGATGTGGAAGGACTAGCATATCCTATGCCATGACATGTTTGTCCTTTAAGACCAGGACAAAACCTCATGAGATCCTCATCAGAATAGAGGTGTGCCAGCTTGACCTGGGCAGTCAGGAGCAGTCCTATGAGTGATGTGATTCTAAACCTTGACAGACAAGTAAGGATTACCCTATCAAAGAAGTAGAAAGTTTATGAGTGACAAGAGAATCAGCAAGAACAAATCAGATTAAGTGGAAGAACATGACTGAGTTGAGGTTTAATGTGAAGTTCTAAAGGCACAATACAGGGGCTGAGAAGAGAGATGGAATTAAAGAGGGAATTGGGACAGGTAGACCCTCAAGGGCAGGTTGACAATTGAAGCTTATAGTTGAACTCTAAGGGTTTTATAGAGTCACTGAAAACCTGTCCCCAACCCTCTAAACACACACACACACACACACACACACACACACACAAACACACACACACACAGTTATACACACTTCACATACTTGGTTGAAGAACTTTAAGAAAAGGAAGTGCAAGCTTGGAATCCACATTTTATAGTCCTTAGTGTGGTGGGCAGTGTTGAAGGTAAATGTCAAGGCAAAAGTAAGAGGAAAGGAAATGAAGATTCTAGTTTAATTGGAAATTTTTGTACTCATTAGGCAAGAAGAAGAACAGCTAATGGATTGTTGTATATGGTAATAAACAAGAAGGAAAAGTGCCAAGAGAAAATTAAGAAATAGATGTCATAAGGTTATGGAACTTGGATTTAGAAAAGAAACAAGAAGGACATTGGATCAGATTCTGTCTTGGGTTTCTGGGTGGGTGATGGTTCCAGAAACCAAGACAGATTCTTGGTCACTACATGCTTGGAGCACTCTATTCAATGCTTGTGCTTCATTTTAAGAGAGAGACAATGAGGAGCTTGGATCTTCAGGCACAGAAATAAGAAGACTGGTGAAGGTGCTGACATCATTTTCCACATGTATCTGCTAAAGGATATGGAGCTATTAAACAGGAAGCTGTAAATCTGTGAATGGCTGCCATATGCAAAGACACGAAGAAGTAGGTGAATGTGGCAAGATAAAGCTAATTTTTCTTTCTTATATTAAACCAAACCATGTGAATGGATTAATGGTAGAACAGAAAAAAAGTATTATGAAGCTATGAGCAACTCATTCTAGGGAAGATACAGGAGGAGGTTAGGGCACAATTTTTCTAGAGGAGATTCTTTTCAGGATAAGTTGGAGGGCGACTTCAGACTTACACGCCACTATGGCTCCATCCATTGTTCTGATTGAACAGTTCTGTGAATCCCTGATGGCATTAATTAATCAATCATTTGGGCCTCTCTCACAAGAAATGACTCTCGTCTTGTGTGTATACACTTGAGGTGAATGGAGAAAAACCACATTATAAATATTGCATACAATGGTGCTTGACTAATGTTACAAGCCCAACTAATATCACTTTCCTTTCCAAAAGCATCTGCACAATTTACCTACTGAGATGTCCAAAGACAGAGTCTTGTTTAAGAAGTGAAAAGTCTTGAGACTTGAATGAGAAATATGAGATTTGAATATGAATGAGAAATACCAAGACCAGCATTCCTGGTAAAATACAGCCCAGTGGATGCCTTCCTTTTCTTGCCTTCCTCCCACTCAAATAATGAACGTGCAATCCCTATGTTTGAGAGTCGAGAGGGGAGAATGGAGCATTGATCACTTTACATGCCGGGAAGAGGCTCCCTGGCACACATGTCCATATTTCACGAGGGGAGGTCTCCTACAGAGGACAGATAATGGAGATGAGAGACCTCGTTTTATCAAAGTTAGAGAAAATACAGACTTCTGACAATAACTACCAGGCTGAGTTCATTTATTCACTAGATTTCATTAACTTAAACTTTCATTCATTTCATTCAATCATTTATTCATTCACTTATTACAGAAATAGCATTCTGCTTCCACTCCATCCTGATATCTTCTCCTCCTCTCTGACCTCATTTCCATTACTTCTCTTGGCTGGACACTGTAGCTGCTCCTAATTGGCCTCTTCCATCTATATTTTGCCACCCGAAACCTTTCTCCATATTTCTCTCAAAGCAGTGGCATTAAAAAAAAAATAACTAATGACTGGCTTATTACCCATCAATGGCTCTTGTACACTTAGATTGGAAGATGCAATCACACTGACTTTCACGGAGGACTATGGCTGAATTGTGTCCTCCTCAAACTCATATCTTAAAGACCTTAACTCCATAACCTCAGATGGTGACCTTATTTGGAGATACGGTATTTAAAGAGGTAATTAAGTTAACGTGGGATCCTTAGGATAGGTCTCAATCTGATGTGACTGATGTCTTTATAAGTAGAGGGAATTTGGGTGCAGAAAGGAAGGCCAGAAGAAGCACAGAGAGAAGATGGTGTCTGTAAGCCAAAGAGAGAGGCCTCAGAAGAAAACAACCTCCATGACATCTTGACTTGGGTCTTCTAGGTTCCAGAACTGTGAGAGGATAAATTTCTGTTGTTGGAGCCACCTCGTCTGCAGTACTTTGTCATGGAAATCCTAGCAAACCAACACATCAAGTGCCCAGATCTGACTGTGACCAGGGGAGCTCCCAGACGCAGAAGTGCCCCAGCTCACTC